GAATGTTGATAAGAATAATAGGAATGTTATTGAGTATTAACTGTAGCCTGTCATTGAGTTAGGGAGGTGCTTTACATACATTAAGGCATTTAGCCTATACAAACTAATGTCTATGATGAAGGCCCTATTTTTAATCCCATTTTTATTGGCAGTATGGGAAACCCCATTATTATCAGTAAAGGAAACTTTTTCCTAGAGAGGTAATGAACATGCCTAATGTCACACAGCTATTAAACAGCTAAATTTGAACCTAGTCTTTATTCAACAAGTTTTTGTGATATACATTGTTGCATTAATCTCATTCATGACTCCATGTTACATTTTGTCCATTTGTTTTATTCCTTCATATTTTACTTTATTTTATCTAGTATTTTATGTGTCTTGACATATAAACAACTTTCAATCTTCTCTAGAGAGTGATGGGTTTAAATAAACAAGCATATTGACTATAGTTTGTAGGGTTGTACTTTATTAGGAGAAAAAAAAACAAAGAAAAATGTGTTTTTGTGAATACTATAATTTCCTTTGCTACCTAAGGACAGGTTTCCCCTCTTTGAACAGTTTGTATTTGCAAAGATAAAGCAAGAGCCAATCAATCAATATTGATTGAGTCGATGTGGGGAATATAGAGAATTATGCTAGAGTTCCTGCCCTTTGGGAGCTTACATATTTAATTGTTGAGTGAAAATACATGTACAAAACCACAAATATGTGAAAAGTGATTATTAATGGCACTGGTAATGGGTCCTTTATGTGTCATAAGTCAATGGTTAAAGTGAAAGGAAGGCACTGTAGGAAATGGATTTTTTTTTTCAAGGACTGTCAATCCCTAAGGCAAAACAAGAATTTTTAATATTTGAGTACTTTGAAAAGTTCTATAACAAAATATTTGGACAAGATGCTTTTTAAGGTCTGTCCAACTTGAAAATAATATAATTAAATGAATTATACAGATACTAATTAATAGAGAGTTAAGAGGTTTGCCAGAAGGAGGTATAGGAAAACTCAGAGTGGACATAGAGAGTAACCGGAGAGACACAAGGAATATTTTTCATTTCTCAGGATTAGAAGTGCATTTGTGTGTGTGTCGAGGTTGGGGGGTGAAGGGTGGATAAGAGGAAAAGGTGTTAGCAAAGCAGTCAACCACTGAGCATATTTTCCAAAGTAGCTAGCTAGCTGCCTGTTCAAACTTTGTTGAGACTCCGATAAAAACGTATTAAAGGATAATGTCCAAGATGCTGTTAAAATTAAAATTGAGACTGTCAGACATAGAGAAAAGGGAGTCAATTTGTGTAGTCCATTTTAATGGTTCTTCCCTCTCTAGCCAATGGTGCAGACTCAGTGACCACTCCCCTCCCCACTTTGCCTTTCAAGATCCCAAGTGGTAGATTCTAACCACTTGGGATCATTTTCCTTACCGACTTTTTAAAACAGCGGTTACTTGTGCTCTCTTCCAACTAGGGTATTGTGACTTTTTCTTCGGTTGCCCACTAATCTTCAAGTGTGTGGGGTGAGAACCACCTTTTCCTCCACTTGGTTGTGGGGCTACAGGTGTCTGGAAGCAAAGGCCTGGGTTTCAGTCTGATAAGATCTACTTGCTTTGGAAAGGATTGCTTTCACTAGACAGTGGTCTTGTTTCAGGGTGCACAATGGTTTGTTTTTTATGTTTTAGAGGATGGAGAGGGTCTGCAAATACAAGATGGCCTAAGAGGAAAGTTATAAAATCGTTTTCCCTCGGTCTGCGTAGGTCGAGGACAGCCAAGTTGGGACTCGGTTTGTAGCCCAAAGTGAGGGCAGTCCTGCACTCCAGGGGCCACCCTCCCGAGGTGCGGGGCAAGGAGTGTTTAGGTGTCCCACACACTTCGCCCCAGGAAGACCACAGGGGCTTCTTAGGGGAGCCTACGAAAGGAAGCCGGCCGCCGTGCCCCGCGGGTGCAGGCCTGACCCGGGAGTCGCAGGGCCCAGGGCGGGCGGCGGCGCGGAGGCGGCGGCGGTGGGGGAGGCGC